AGTTAAACCATTAAACAGAAAACTTAGTTACTTATTTGCCCTCGCCTGACGAGCAACAATCCCATATAATACGATTAAAATATACAAACATAAAATATCGGAATAGTATCTTAGATAGTATATACATGTATACACCGTAACAGAAAATATTTGCAAAGCGTAACATTAACGTTAAATAAAAAAGTATTTGAAAAAAAGAAATAGTAACAGACAATTGTACACATACAGCATACTCTATATCTAGTATAAATATAAATATAAAAGCGATCACTCGTATTAAATGTTAAAATAATATGCACAGATTTGCCATTAAAATCAAAATAATAAAATAAGCATATATAACTGAAATTCAACCTTAATATTAATCCTAAATGTGACATGCTTTACCTGGGTGTAAGACCGTTACCTACCTGTACCCCATCCGGTCATTAGATTCCAGATCAATAACCTCCTCTCAATTACCATCCTGTGTAATTATCCCACTACAAAATACATATTATGTTATTATACCGATACATATCCCTTTCTTTCCCCATAACCATCTCCGAATCCCTAACCCTTTTCCTAATTAAAAAAATGATCATCCTTAATCATCACTTTATCTCTTTTCTTTATTATATCCTATCATTACCGGTACTTTTACCATTGATATTTCCGTTACCCTAACCGTTGTGTGCCGTTACCCTAACCGTTGTGTGCCGTTACCCTAACCGTTGTGTGCCGTTACCCTAACCGTTGTGTGCCGTTACCCTAACCGTTGTGTGCCGTTACCCTGAAGGCTGTGACGTATTTGTGGTTTTATTTACTTTTCATGTCTATGTTTGATGACATTGTGTTGGGGTTTTTAGTCAAACATGTTATTGTGACTAAACCATTCACGTTTCTTATGTCCATAATAATGATTTAGTCCTGATTCGGTTTGTTCTGGGATTTTTTGAGGCATCGTGGGATTGGGTGGTGGTTTAGGTGTTGTTCAATTAATTCACCAAGTGGCGAATTAATTTCTTGAAGGGGGGAGGTGTTACGATCCCAATGGAACTTTACCTATGTTTGGCCCCATCGACGGGGAAGTGACATGACGCCCATAAACTAAGGTGCCCAGCGCTCGAATAGCCGGCCAGGTAATTAAAATGAAATGCTGAGGCACGGCCAATGGACTGGCCAGTACTTAGCTTGGGAAGCTTGGGCTGGTCTAGTAAGATTTCTTGGTGCATAATTACCCCTGCACCTGGACCTACGCGGGACTGTTATTTAAGGAGGGGTTCGAGACGGTAAGGGGGAGACTAGGGGACACACACACGGACAGACAGACTCGGATATGTAGGGTGAGAAGACATGGGACGTCTCTGTGAGATGGCGGCAAACCACAAGATGTCTGTACTGTAGTAGACCTAGCATAGGGACAAAGTAGAGTAGTCGGACTAAGGACTTTAGTTGTTGTAGATAGTTGTATACTTTTCTGTTTTCACTAGGTGGCGGGTTAGTGTTTGTGAAAATAAATAGAAATCATTGAGATTTGTGTTCATTTATTCTTGTTTTCTTTTTCTTGTTTTCGCTTCCCTGACTAGTTCGAAAGGATTAGAGAAGGGGGCTGTAACACAACTTATAGCCAAGTCTGATGACCACTTGTCTTGCAAGTAAACTTAATAACCAGGTCCGATGACTGCGGTTTACGGTCTGTAGTAAAATCATGTAAGTTACTTAAAACACAAAGTTATTAGTTTTAACAAATACTAACATTGAAAATTAGTTTATGAATTACAAAGTTTTAACGTAAAAAAAATAAACCTGGTGCGATCTCCCCTAAACTTTCTCGAATATTCTTGTATAAAACAACAGGGGAACTCGGAACATTGTTATCATTTTTATCCATTTTAAATACTTAAACTTTTTAAAATAGAATAGAATCTCATAAAAAAAAGAATTGCGCACCAAGCGAACGCCGAATAAAGATGTGTATAATAATGCGGAATATTATTATTACTTTATAAATTCACATGTGTTTTTGAGAAATCGGATATAGCGTAAATTAGTACTTTCAGTCAACGGAAATTACTCAATATATGACAGAAGGTGGAGAATTAGATCTTTTACTTACATGTGAAATTTCATTTATCTTTCTAAAATAGTACTCAAGTTATAGGCTTTTGAAACATTCAAACTAGAAAAAGTACCATTTCCGTTTATCGGAAATCGCTCAAAAGTTGATCAGGATCTACGATTTTTTTAATAAAATACTTATATATGAAATTTCATCAACCTAGCTGTAACGGTACTCAAGTTATTGTATTTACACACAGACACACAGACATACAGACAGAATTTCAAAGTCCAGTTTTTCCCACTCGATAACGCATAAAACGCCAAAATGTTTATATATTTGTATTTATAATTTTTGCCTGATTAAAATAAGTCCTCTATACTCCGGATGTGATGAAGGACTGAGGTGTAAAACGGTGAAAACTGTCAAAATTTCATGTTATTTTTGTGCACGATTACAAGACTTTCTCTATACTTCGTATATACGAGAAAGTAAAAACGGGATGAGAACTCGGGATATAGACATGAATTTTAATCCATTTAAATACTTAAACTTTTTAAAATAGAATAAAATCTCGTAGAAAAAAAAGAATTGCACACCTGTGAACGCCAAATAAAACGTGCATAATAGTGCGGAATATTATTAGTACTTTATAAATTTACATTTGTTTTTTGAGAAATCGGATATAGCGTAAATTAGTACTTTCAATCAACGGAAATTACTCAAAATTTGAAAGAAGGTAGAGAATTAGATCTTTTACTTACATGTGAAATTTCATTTATCTATCTGAAATAGTACTCAAGTTATAGGCTTTTGAAAAATTTAAACTAGAAAAAGTACCATTTCCGGTTATCGGAAATCGCACAAAAGTTGATACGGATCTACGATTTTGATAAAATACTTATATATGAAATTTCATCAACCTAGCTGTAAAGGTACTCAAGTTATCGTGTTTACACACAGACACACATACACACAGACATACGGACAGAATTGCAAAGTCCAGTTTTTACTACTCGATAACGCATAAAACGCCAAAATGTTTATATATTTGTATTAATAATTTTTGCTTGATTAAAATAAGTCCTCTATACTCCGGATGTGATGAAGGACTGAGGAGTAAAAAGGCGAAAACTGTCAAAATTTCATGTTATTTTTGTGCACGATTACAATACTTTCTCTATACTTCGTATATACGAGAAAGTAAAAAAGAACTAAGTAAATAATACAAAATCAGTAAAAGAAAAGTAAGAGGTAAGAGAGGGATTCAGGTTTTCCTCCCCTGTACTTTGCATGTCACGTGACTAGTCCCTCTATCCTGACTGGACAGTGCGTTAGGTGTCCACGTGTTGGTCAAGCCAATGACATGATTGGCCGCTAAATGACGAGCTATCTGTGCGCTGAAATAACTAACAGAAAATGAGAGTTGAGGGACAAGTAAGAATGTGGGTAACGGGCGTAGGACAAAAGGCCAACATCCAAAAAGCCGACACGGACAAAAGGCCGACATTGACAAAAGGCCGACAGCCAAAAGGCCGACAGGACATAAGGCCGACAGGACATAAGGCCGACAGGACATAAGGCCGACAGGATATAAGGCCGACAGCCATAAGGCCGGCAAGCATAAAAAATACTAATATCGCAAAAATATATATTACTGCATAGCTGCTATCTTGATAACTATCGAAATAAGGCATGAAATAAGGTGAAACATTCAAGAGAGGAGACAATGCTAGTTGCTATCCTTATTAGGTGAACCATCCGCTCCAAGCGACTGAAGATTACTGGGATGTCTTAAACACAAAGGATCAACACCTAAATATTGCGAAATGCGATCACTACTGTCTTTTATTGCTCCTTCTATGTCAACGAGGTGAGACAATCATCAAAGAACCAAGTCAAAAGCCGTCGCATCATCGCCCACATGCAACAAGGTGGAGCGCCAAGAGACAATGCTAGATGCGATCCTTATAAGGTGAACAATGGGGTCCATGCGTCTGGAGAGGACGGGAGTGTACAAAAGATAGCCAGAAAGGTGGTGTCACCACCATATTTTGCAAAGAAATCAAAGAAACCGAATGAAGTAGAACGATCACGTGCCTTTACTGGACTACATGATAAATACCGACAAACTTTGAATAATATTTTAGTTTCGTCCATTGCGAATTGTGTGAAAGTGAAAAAAGTGTATACTATATTAGTTGGATTCATTAATTCTTTTGTGATTGTGGTACAAGTGTGCCGAAATCGGTAAGTTTTTTTTTTTTGTTTTTTTTTTAAAAGAAACACTACATTTGATATTAATAAACAAAATACAAGTGTGCCTACATGTTGTATAAATACAAAATATGTTATATTTTGAAGGTGAGTTTTTTTCTAATTTGTAATATACCTTTATCATTATGTAACTGGTTTTCAATAAAAATTAAACATGTTTGTAATTGTAGTTTGTTGTTTTATAAAAGTTTTTTTGGATTTCGGCCTTTTGTCTTGTCGGCCTTTTGGCTGTCGGCCTTTTGTCTTGTCGGCCTTTTGGATGTCGGTCTTTTGGCTGTCGGCCTTTTGTCTTGTCGGCCTTTTGTCTTGTCGGCCTTTTGGATTTCAGCATTTTGTAAGTCGGCCTTTTGGCTGTCAGCCTTTTGGATGTCGGCCTTTTGGGAGTTAGCCTTTTGGAAGTCGGCCTTGTGTCTTGTCGACCTTTTGTCTTGTCGGCCTTTTGTCCATGTCGGCCTTTTGTCCGGATCCCATTTGTAAAGATGGTCAGTTTTACTCCCAGTCGGAATGCCAAACTGGAACAACTTGACTGATATAGTTGCGAATGCCACGGCTAAAATATTTAAATGTACAGTGTCTTGCACTATATTATATTCAGACACAGTAAGGTGTAGTCTGGACTATGAGAAAATCTCTGGCTGTAGACATAACAAAACCAAAACAAACAAAATCTTCAAGGCCAACCTAAAAGCACATATATCTGGTCGTTTATAAAACAAAATTATTTTTTTTAACTTACATTACATTTTGGTAAAATTAACTTTGCTACAAAACGATATACAATAGTGTGAAAGATGAAAACAATATATACTATCTTGTTAAATCAGTTGAGCCATAAGAAATCAATTAAAATTTAATTATGAATAGTTGCATTCCAGGGGAGAGGGGTGAAAGTGGAGGATTCGCTACTTGCATTCGGGGTAGGGGGTGGAGTGACTTTGCAGCTTACATTTGAGGGTGGGGGGGTAAGACTTGATGACATCATTTTACGAGGGTAGGAAATTTTATAATTGGTTTCTATACAAGATAGCAACTGTAAAACAATCTCTGCTTCTAAATTTCTTGCTTTAAATTGTTGGAATGGTATCTTATTTCAGTTAAACGCTAAAGACTATTGTTCTACAAGTAACATGTATTTTTAATACACAGATTAAACTAATCCTTCAATCTTTCTTACCTATCGTCAAAAAAAAATGTTTACTCCTTTCTTCCTGCCTATCAACTTTCCCCTTTACCTTGTCAGCAACGAAACACTACAAATATTTTATTCATCAAACAAAACAACAGTAAACACTATTTAACTATAATCATTACGAACTCCAAAACAGCCTTCTTTATTGTCTATGTTTTACTCTCTTTTTTGTCTGGTTGGGGTTTTTGTATACTTTTTTGTTGGTGAAGATTGAACAGGTATGCCAACATCGCACCTTTTTCTCTTGGTACCGTCAATTGCCCGTTCTGTTTTGACTTCTTTAGGCTGTTATTAATAATTAGATACATATTAACATATACTTCCTTATTCACATTATCCTTAATCGTTTGATTAAACTCGTCTACTGAAAAGTTGCCAAATACCTGCCAAAACTCATATTGATATTCTGAGTGTTTTGATAATTTTCTGCGTTCAGAAATGATTTTTTTCATATCTTTTTGCTCAGTTACACCATCCATAGATATATATGAATGTGTATCACAATACCTCGCATCAAAAGCGTCGACGTAAAACATATATGTATTTATAACTTTTGCAGTTTTTTGTCGTAGCTTTATCTTTTCAGATTCAGCAATTGTTTCATCGTTTATTCTCATGTCGAAATGAACAAAATAATCCACCCCTTTTTTCATATCGTCATCATCTGGTATTTTTTCCACTTTCATTGATTTGTTTTTGGTATCTCTGTTTTTTGGCTCAGATTTTTGGACCACCTCTTTTTTTTTTTTATCATTTTTGGTTACAGTAATTTTATTTCCATCTTCAAGTTTTGATGGTTTCCTTTTATTTTTTTTTTTATTTTTTTTTTTTAATTTATCCAAATCCTGGACATCTTTTGCATTGGCCATGGTGATCCTGAAATACATAAATCTACTTTAAAATAAAAAAAATATGTTTTTACAATAAATTGGGAGTGAGCTGTCTCTTTATGACAATTTAATTCCCATTAAGATGCGTTTAACTTTTTTTGCGAAAGATTAGTAATGTCAGTAAAAAAAAATAAGCCTGATCTGTGTTAGAGGGTAGTTTGTAGCTAACGCTAATATGTTTAGACCAGCCTTTTATGTTCTAGTTTTGGAACGATCTCTGTTGTGATATGGTACATAGTTGGATTCGAAGTTTGTTAGAGTAAGGACACACAAGTGACATACAAGAAGAAGTTATCAGAAATATTTATTGTTCACATTGGAATACGACATGGGTATTTCGTTGATTGGTTGATGGTATGACAAAACAAGCTAGAGAAAACAAACTGGAATCCAACGGATGTTAACAGCTCGTAGTCTTGGATTTCGCAGATTTGCCCTGCCTTCTCGCACACAGTTTCTTCCAGGCATCTCTTCGTGGGGGGGGGCAAAGCCCCCCGAAAAATTTTTACCGCCCCCTTGAACGAAATGAAATTTATATAATTTATATATAGAAAATATATACTTTTAACAGTGTCCGCCCCCCCGAAGAAAGTCTACCGCCCCCCCCCCCGATAATTTCAAGTGCCCCCCCCCCCCCCCCCGGAGAAAAAAGTCTGGAAGAAACACTGCTCGCACAACGTTAACAACAAATGCAGAACTAATTGTATTGATTGAAGAAGCAGTAACAATCAATTTAAAGATAGCCCATGACGTTCTGATTATAATCAGCAGCAATATAACGCGTTTTAACACTCTAATAAAATGTGGAATTCAAATGCATTGTCAAAAAAATTCAATCAGGATCTATAGCTAAATGTGAAGTCTCTTTTACTGTATGGCTTGGAGCTAGATTACAGACAGTGGAGAATGAAATAAGAGCATGGAAAAAAGTGGTGGTTAGTGGCTTAGGGATTCAAGAATCCGTGATATTTAGTTCTCTTTAATATAGTTCAGTGATCCAGGTAAGATGTAATGCAATCAATCAAAAGTATCTGATCTCTCACGTTGAAGTTGAGAGAATCGTAAGAATCTTACAAACAAATAGTCGCGTCTTTTTTTTTAACAAAGCTGGCTAGTGAAATTGTACATTACGCGTTAATACACTTGGTTTCTTTACTAAGTGTTAAGAGAGTTATCTACTCACCAATCCAGTACAAATACTTGCGATTTTTGTTAGCGAAAAAAGCGCCCCCCCCCCCACCCCCACACACACTCATCACAACCATCTTGGACAAAGTTTGTAGAGCGGTTTTTAACGTAACTAACTTTTTTTTTAATGTTACACAATTATACAATGCACAGTACAATTTGTTTCTTTCTGAGAGCTGAAGGTTGTTTACTCAGAATCCAGTGTAATTTTGCTATTTTATTTAGCCTAAAAGCGCCCCCCTGCACCAATACGTTTTAATACAATTGGTTTCTTTTAATAGTGGTAACGTTTATCGACTCAACAATCTAGTGTAAATTCTTCCGATTTAAGTCTCGAAAAAGCGCCCCCCCCCCCATCTAGGAAAAGCTTCAAAGCGGTTTTGCCGGTCACTGTTTCTTCAGAGTATATGTTTTACATTAAGAAATCAAGGTAGAAAACAGTTAAATCAGTATGTAAAGGCGTGTAGCCATTACATTTCTTAACTTAGACAGTTTATAATTCAAAACTGCAGCATAAAATCAGCTTAAAAAAATTTTTCCCACCCCTTTTGGCGCCCCCATAGGGTCGGCGCCCGGGGCGGCCGCCCCCCGCCCCCCTCCCCCCCCCCCCTAGCTACGCCTCTGTATTGATTCGGTCCAAATTTTAATTAATTCATAAAAAATTAATTAGGCATCCAATTAAGTCAAATTTAGTTTCAGATTGCATTGTCTTCATGTCTTGACCCACGTGCCAAATGTGAATCGTATCGGTCAAGTAGAAGTTTCCGAATTTTCACTCCTGTGTTTCGATCTAGACTGACGACAGATAGACTGTCGACAGACTGTCGACAGACTGTCGACAGAGGAAGTGTGTTAAATAAAAGCTTGAAAAAATCCGACACATTTAACCAAACACAGGCACACACTGATTAAGTGACTAAAATGATTCTGTTAAAAACTCGGATATTCAATGGTATTCTTCTTGTTTTTAAAGTGAATTATTTTTATTTGATTTTTATGAATAGATCTATAGATTTAAATGAAATAGTTCATTTCTTCATCGGTAACCATACCATATTAAATGCACTGGCTGATTAAGAGACTTAAAATTAAGAGACTTAAAAGATTTCTTTAAAAACCCGGCTGTTCAATGGTAGTTATGTTGTTTTTAGTAGATAGTCTAAATCCAGATCTTAGCGTCTACGTCTAGTTTTTCCGTAGATCTAGTCTAGATATAGAATCGAGATCTAGATCTATATCTAGAATCCAAATAGATAAAGTAAATACTTATAAAAGTTTAGGCCGAGAAAATCGTATTGTATACATTTCATAGCTTAAGTAGAATCTAGCTCTAGATCTAAATCATATTTGAATGAAATAGTTCATTTCTTTATTTTATTCTAAACTCGGAAGATGACGTCATCAGTTTCGTGCTCTTTTTTTTTAGTGTAAACAATAAGCGACGTCGTTGTTAAATGCGTTCTTGTCCCAAGTATAAACCTTTTTCCGGTTGCATAATTAAAATTGTTTTTCTACATTCGAATACGCCTTAATTTTTTTTTTTATTTTTTAAATATAATTGTGGTTATACATTTAAAACATCTAACATATTATTTTCAACAAAAGTCCGTATAAAGGTATCCATATATCGCTGCCGATTCTGACGTGATATCCGGCGAAAATATTTTGCGGACAGACAGAGAGAGAGAGAGAGAGAGAGAGAGAGAGAAGTGCGCACATGGGCTATTATATATTAGGATTTCTTCTAACACAGGTGGGTACAGCTTCTATCACAGGTGGGTACAGCTTCTAGCACAAGTTAGCAACTTCCCAAAGTTTCATGGCGATCGTGTGAACAGATTCACTGCAATTCAATTTTATTATTTTTATATACCACATGTAGAGATAAATCGCACCCTCCCGAGGCGCCGACCTTGCGAAATTAAAACGAAATTTTTGCAGAACCCTTCCCTGCAATGTTCTAATCAACTCCTCAAGGCAGGCAGGCAGGCAGGCAGACAGACAGACAGACAGACAGACAGACAGACAGACAGACAGACAGACAGACAGACAGACAGACAGACAGACAGACAGACAGACAGACAGACAGACAGACAGACAGACAGACAGACAGAAAGACAGAAAGACAGAAAGACAGAAAGACAGAAAGACAGAAAGACAGAAAGACAGAAAGACAGAAAGACAGAAAGACAGAAAGACAGAAAGACAGAAAGACAGAAAGACAGAAAGACAGAAAGACAGAAAGACAGAAAGACGGAAAGACAGAAAGACAGAAAGACAGAAAGACAGACAGACAGACAGAAAGACAGAAAGACAGAAAGACAGACAGACAGGTAGATAGATAGATAGATTAATTGTAATATTGGACTGAATTTCCTTTAACACAATTAAGAATAACGTGTCAACATGTAATGCATCATATGGCTCTTAGACTCTTATTTCAGCCTGCATTTCTGTCTAGACTTGCTCCCGTATCATTTGTCCACTGAAGAACAAACTACAAGGCAGCAGTTTTTAGATGGGCTGCTGTCTCCTGTGATCTAGCCTTATCTGCCCTAAATGTACTTAAGATAGAAAATGTAAATGTAATTTTAAATTAACCTGTTGTTCAACTGAGACAGCGTATCAGTGTTTCTTTCATGCATTTCTATGGGTGGGGGGGCACCAAAGTACCAAATCGAATTTATTTCCGAGACTTAATCAACCCACCCGTGGTAGAAGCTGTATTCTAATTTACTGCTGTATGATTGTTTACTGCTCTGATAAACGATGTTGACCCGTACGAGAGCAAGCTACCCTCTGGTAACCAACCACGGTGTTGTCGTTTTATTTCAATTTTAATCAATAATGAATCAATAACCTTGTTGATTAGATCTGTTGTAGAGTTGTCGGTGAGGGTGGGGGCAGAGGCGTACACAAAGGGAGGGGGTGGGTCACGTCCTAGTGGATCTTTTCAAAGTGGCACGAATTATTTTGTACTTTGGCCATGCTTAACACTTTATTACACAGAAATCACCGCCGAAATTTAAATTTTTATTTTTTTTAAACCGTGGTGCGGATCGTATTATCCTTCTCATTCAGTCACAAAACCATTTTGTCGGCAGTATGCTTCTTTGATAAAATAATGTAAAACTGGAGAGATCTCCCCTAGCCTTACTCGAATATTCTTAGATAACACTAATTGGGATGGCAACTCCAGTGCGGTCGGGATATAGACATTTTTTTACAAATTAATTTTCAAATACTTAATTTTTTTAAATAGATTAGAATATCGTACAAAATAAAAAGAATTGCGCACCAAATAAACAACAAATAATCTCTGCATAAAAGTGCGGAACACTAGTAGGCCTACTTTATAAAGAAAGACAGAAGAATCAAGTTTAAAAATATTCATATGCGTTTTTTGAGAAATCGAAAAATTGGTGCGATCCAAACACTGGCCCCTATACACCCCATTCAAAGAAAAACTACATGGGGCACCTGCAGATCTGGCGACCACAGTCCAGTTCATCCACGAAGCTAGACTTGTTCTTTAAGTCCTCCACCATAAGCTTAATTAAGAACGCAGAAGAAGAAGAAATGAAATGTTCGCGCTGCGACATGGATGACGGGGGGGGGGGGGAGGAATTAAACTCTTTTTTATGCTTGTGGGGCTACACTAGTTTCAAAAAATAAAAATACCTTATATCATGTATATAGTAAGTTACACACACAAGCACTATCGTCATCGAGTACTGTGTAGGTGTCATATAAAGTGTTGTTTACGTCGAAAGTTTCCGTCCTCCATGCATAGCCTAGGCAGACGTATGTTGTCTTGAGTGAGAGATGAGGAGTGTTGGGCGAGGGTTGCATAACCCTTAAAGTAGGTTTGTCAAGGGGTCAGCAACCCTTAAAGTGGGTTGGGCAAAAGGTCAAAAACCGATGAGGGGAGTTGGGTGAAGGGTCAGCAACCCTTCCCTGGGGGAAAAAACAGCTACAGAAAAGCCAGCAATAAGAGACACATAATTAACTAGCACAACCACAACAGGCGATAAGAATGATAAAACAAACGAGCAAAATGAATCGCCCCCCCCCCCTACTTAGGGTAGACGAGACTCGTTAGCTAGAGACAGCAGCCGTGTAGGGGAGTTAACTCCAAAATCAAACAGGAGTGGAGGCCCTGGGCGACAGGATTACCAACTCTTGTTGTATTTCGGGAGCTTCTGCAAGCAAAGTTGGTATCACACGTATTTCTTTGGTTTCCTATAGACTAAACAGTCAAAGTTCAAGAGAGAGATCACGATGTATAGTCAAACCTATGGTCTTTTCGTCTAATTAGACCTAACAAACAAACACATGAATACACATAAAAACACTTGAACACATACACAATAAATAAACGTACCTCTGTGAAATATTTCAGTCTGATATCTCGTCTCGTTTAAGTCTGCCCACCATGTTGTGCAGATTTCGAGAGATATCGCGTAAGCGAGCTATAAATACAGGCCTGCACTTATATACTGGCGGTTTTCTAAACCCCCCCCCCCCCCCCCGTACAGGCTTGCATGCCTGCACACGAGGTATCTAACTTCCCGGTGGGATTCGTGGAAACGAGCTTGTCGTCTGATGTTTCGTTTTAGATTTGTCATGTTTCGAAACTGAAACGCATTACATTTAGGCTAGTACGGGTAGGTCTGTAGCCAACTATGACAACAGCGTCCATCTTGAAAAATTAACCTATTCGTAGGATTTCCACCATTCATAAAATATTATATTTTAAGCCCAATAAACTATAAATTCATTATCTTCTACCATAGGGTACTTAGCTAAAGTATTTAAGTGCAGGTCTTCAAAATAATTTCTTATGAATTTTCAAATGTTGGGTCACATTTTTTTAGGAATTTTCTGGTCTTAACTTAAGGGATACTCTAATCTTAACAGAGTTAAAAGAAAGTCTTGGTGTAACAGAATGTCTTGGTGAAACTGCTGACAGAAGCAACAGAATGTATTGCTGAAATGTTGACAGCGCTAACAGAATGTCTTGCTGTAACCAGGGGCGCAACTACAGTGCCGCCAGACCCCGCAATGCGGGCGGGCGGGGGGGTGGGCATGCCATTTAGGGGCCCATAGCCGACCATAATACATTTTCTATAGCTAAAAAAATAATGTTCTTGCATTTTTGACTTGACGGTTAAAGCTTTTGTAAATAACAAACATTTCTACTACAGTAGTGATGTTATACAGTAGCTAACACATGATGTTGCGTAAAAAAATAGAAGCTGTAGTGTGAAAGATAGGAAAACATTCAAAACACTTATGACTTATTTCCCTTGTTTAAATTGTTAAATAGGGGTGCTCATAAGCTCCTTTTAATATATTTGTACTAGCCGTCCCGGCCAGGCCCTTCTCTGGCTTCTGTGAAAAACCTTTCTGTTAAAGACCATCACCTATGTGTTTAGTAATCATCATAAACCCGGCATTGCCCACCCAAACTACAACCAACCAAAACCAAAACAACAAAACGCAAACATAACACTAACACAATTACAAATACAAACGAAAACAAAAACCTAACAACAAACCCAACCACAACCACAAACACCAATACAAACACAAAGAAAAAACAAACAAAAAAGCAAACGAAAACAGAAACCTAACAACAAACCCAACCACAACCACAAACACCAATACCAACCAATAACAACACACAAAAAAACGAAAAAGCAAACGAAAACAAACCAAATCCAAACGCAAAACCAACCAAAAACACAAATACAAACCCAAAGAAAAAAACACAAACAAAAACGAAAAAAGAAAGAACAAAAACGAACCAAATCAAACCGCAACCACTAACGCAAACCCAACGGAATCGCCTGTTTTAGCTTAATAAACGACTATAGTACCCCAACTTATTCATAGTCTTTTGCACTCACTTAAACGAACGCGCCTGTTTCAATTTAATGAACAATTTTAATACTCCAAGCTTATCCGTAAAATACCTACAACATTTGCACTTGATCAATCCCCGCTAATTATGTAATTATTTTTTCCCAATACCAAAACAAAGTAATAAAAAGTAAATTATTTTCCACTAATGCAATGGTTTTATAAAGGGAAGTAATTGTGTTTTCCTAATTTATCAAAGGGAATTAAGTGCTATAGGACTAAATAAAGACATAATTAGAATTTTTGTAAAAGATGATATTTTTTTTAAACTTGTGTTTAATGAACATGCCGAAAATTTAGACTATGAGCACGATAAAAAATCTAACACGTAAATCCATAGAAGTGTCAACGACAAACTTTTTTACCACACGTTACAGAACTGAGCTTTATATATTAGAATTAGACTAGCCGTCCCGGCCAGGCCCTGCTCTGGCTTCTGTGAAAAACCTTTCTGTTAAAGACCATTACCTGTGTGTTTAGTAATCATCATAAACCCGGCATTGCCCACCCAAACCACAACCAACCAAAACAACAAAACGCAAACATAACGCTAACACAATTACAAATACAAACGAAAACAAAAACCTAACAACAAACCCAACCACAACCACAAACACCAAAACAAACACAAAGAAAAAACAAACAAAAAAGCAAACGAAAACAAAAACCTAACAACAAACCCAACCACAAACACCAATACCAACAAAAAAAAAAAAACAACGAAAAAGCAAACGAAAACAAACCAAATCCAAACGCAAAACCAACCAAAAACACAAATACAAACCCAAACAAAAAAACACAAACAAAAACGAAAAAAGAAAGAACAAAAACGAACCAAATCAAAACGCAACCACTAACGCAAACCCACCTAAACACAAAGAAAACACTAACGCGAACATAAACGCCCGGGGCGGAATCACCTGTTATAGCTTAATGAACGACTATAGTACCCCAACTTATTCATAGTCTTTTGCACTCACTTAAACGAACGCGCCTGTTTCAATTTGATGAACAATTTTAATACTCCAAGCTTATCCGTAAAATACCTACAACATTTGCACTTGATCAATCCCCGCTAATTATGTAATTATTTTTTTTCCCAACACCAAAACAAAGTAATTAAAAAGTAAATTATTTTCGACTAATGCAATGGTTTTATAAAGGGAAGTAATTTTGTTTTCCTAATTTATCAAAGGGAAGTAAGTGCTATAGGACTAAATAAAGACATAATTAGAATTTTTGTAAAAGATGATATTTTTTTAAAACTTGTGTTTAATGAACATGCCGACAATTATTACTATAATTTGAAAAATGAAAATTATTTCCCAACACTTTCAATAGTAATTTTTTAGCTCATAAATTTAGACAAATGCGCACGATAATTTTCTAACACTTAAATTCATACAATTCCAACGACAAACATATGCATTACATACAGAACTGAGCTTTATATATTAGATTAAACAAATTACAAACCAATTCCTACACACTCCCCCCCCCCCCCCCCCACTCAACCGGACTGGCGGACATTTCAAGGTAGCGTGCCCTCATTGCCAAGGGTCAATTTTATGTCATGGAAAATTTTGGAATGATAGATCAGTACGTGATTACAGAGACCCTTCTTCCACAGTCGTTTCTATTTCTGTCCATGGGTGGCTACAGTGTGAACTTTTGACTCCGCAGCACACTAAACTAAGCAGTGAAGAGAAACCTAGTTTGCACACCTTATTTTAATCTAGTTCTTATGCCATTTTATTTTTTCTCTTTGATTATTATATATGCAATTGATGTTCATTGTTCATGTCTTTGATGCTATGTAAAATCTATCAAATATATTATTATTACTGATTTAAATGTTTAAAACAATTGAATTAATAAAAATAAAAATCTACCCCCTCCTCTCTCCCCCTCTATCCACTTTACCCCCAGACATGATAACCCCACAATCCCTTTAACTGTTCCAACGACCCCACCACCCACCGCAACATCAATATCCAGAACTTATTTAAAGTTCTAAATCTTGTCTCTTTCCCCTCATCTTTCACACTGCAACCTTTTGAAAACTCAATGCGACCACTACAACACCCTTTCAACTAGTCAACTTAAGTTGTTTCCCTACATAGAAAATGCTTCACTGTCCCATTGACCCTCTCTGAAAAATTTCCTTTCCTCTACCCACCCAGACTTCTGACACTTTCATTTGACCTTCACCCCTTTTACTGTCATCCTTTGCAATTTTTTTTTTTATATAATCAAATACATGACATCATGTAAATATTCATTATGTACATTTGCAAAACCTTTCGTTTTCATTTGGTGTTCAAAATTATGTTAAAAAATTTGATGTTGATGTACTTGTTTTAATTGCAAATAAAAGTATTAAAAAAAAAAAAAAAAAAAAAAATTAGATGATTTAAAAACTGTAAAAACATTTAAGACTATTACTATTATGGTGAAAAAAATACATGCTTTTATTTCTTTATTTCTAATTATATTCATTTGAATTGTTGATCTTTTTTAGCAATGTTCACCATTTTGTTCATGTAATGATAATTTTTGTCAATGTTTGAACTATGTTAAATATTAAGCACACACACATTTGTATATTATGTTGATGTAATTATTTCTATTGAAAATAAAGATATTTAAAAAAAAATATATATATATATATATATAATTTTTGGTCATAAAAAAAAAAAAAAAAAAAGTAATAATTATAATAATAAAAAAAAACTGTTTGAGGACTGTACAGATATAGATGTTTGAAAGGGAAGAATGTTTGCGTTGATGTGTCTCATTGTAATAACATAACTTTTCCGCTTGCTTAAAATTTGTATAATTTTAATTCTCGGTAATCCCAATTTTTTTTTCAGCTCTACTTAAAAAACCCAAATTCCACCACCCCCCCCCCCCCCCAGTCCCCTCAGCCCACCACGCACGCCGAGAAAAAAAAATCCCTTGAATCATCATTTAATTACACATTTGCATTTTCAGTTTCAGGTTGGTTTTTAATTTTAATTTTTTCTTTATATTTAGACGTTTTGTATTAGATCTATGTATAAGTAAATCATCTTAAATGAATGAAAGCAGGCTACAAGTAAGAAAGAAATATTACTATTGTAAATCTATATCAGTCCTCACTAGCCGACGATGAAAACTGTAATACTAAAGCAAACACACAACTGACGCTGTAAATTTACAAGCCTGAGGCGGAAAAAATATAATAACATCAAGGTATTATTTAACATTTATATTATTTTTTAACTTATTAAAATCTGTTTGGTGTAAAAAAAAAAAAAAAAAAAAAAAAAATACAAACCAATTCCTTCTCTAAATTATTTTTTTTAATACATACTAAAGAATGACATAGCATAGAAAGGTAATGTATTTAAAATAAATAATATAAAAACAAGAATACATAAAAAATAAACAAAACACGAGAAACCATTACACATACAAAGCTTTCACATTTTATATTCTTATGACCGGCTTAGGTCTGGATGATAGGCAGTATTACAGCAAACGTATTGAATAACCTAGTTTTAAATCTTTAAAAAAAATTCAAAACCGACAAATGCACTCACACACATGACATGTAATTTGTTTTAATTGAAAACAATTTTTTTTTATCAAAACCAGATCAGGCCAGAACTGAGTATCCAATGTTTACTGTTTGTATTATGTGATTATATATATGTACATATATATATGTACATATACATATACATATACATATACATACACATACACATACACATACACATACACATACACATACACATACACATACACATACACATACACATACACATACACATATACATATACATGTATACAGTGGCGTAGCGACGTCGGGTGTCACCCGGTGCGGCACTTAATTGTGTCACCCCCAGAGGCATAGAGACCCTTCCCAGGGACAAACTTTCAAATTTTCGATTTGCACCCCCCCCCCCTCAAACTTTCGATGTGCACCCCCCTCCCCTCAAGTTTTCGATTTGCACCCCCCCCCCTCAAACTTTCGATTTGCACCCCCCCCCCCCCCTCGAGTTTTTCTCTTTATATTTTGCTATTTTTTTGCCTTGGTGTCACCCCCCTAAATGGTGTCACCCGGTGCGGTCCGCACCCCCCCGCCCCCCTCCCCCCCCTCGCTACGCCCCTGCATGTATACATATATGTTTACATATATGTATATATATATATATGTATATATATATATATATATATATATATATATATATATATATATATATATATATATATATATATATATATATATATATAATATATAGGGTGGGTAGGGCGGGGAGATCGAGGAGGAGAGATCGAGGACGGGGTGCAGGATAATGCCGAGTCTCGTGACCTCTCTGTTAAGCACGATATAGCTTGTTGAAGGCAATCATCCATCGTGGTCACGCTTGACTTGAATTTCTTACCTGAACTTAACATCTCCTTATTTTTTCCCCTCACTTGGTTAAATCAAACAATAGTAAGGTAAGATTCGTGACAAAGCTTGAACCAGTTCGTGCTACCTGCGCAAAATGTTCCCATATATGGAATTCTTTTTTCTGAATATTTATAGACCCCTTGAAAACACGTGACCAAAATCATGTGATATTGTTATGCACCTAGCATGTTATGCACCTAGTGCCGGTCTTAGCAGTGTGCTAGTGGAAATTTCTTCACTTTATTTTTAAAATCTGTCACTAACAAAACAGCATCAATTTGAATGCCATTCAATGTTATTAAATATTCAGCCCAGTAAATGTATTAACAAACACGAGCCACGAAATTTAGCACTTGAAGATGTTAATTTATGCTTGGTATTGCGGTACTTGAAATTATAAAATAATGCTTCTCTATTTCTGACAGGTCTAAAATTGTTTTTTGTTTCTAATATCAAATAAAATATGTTTTATTGTAGATAAGTTGAGCTCGATAGATGAAAAAAAGAAAAATGTTTTATGTTCAGAGGCGTAGCTGGAGGGGGGCGGGCTGCCACCCCAGGCGCCGATCCTGTAGTATACACGTTTCGAAGTTTGTTCTACCACTACTGGACCAAATCACCCAGAAGCTTCTACAAACCACTCTCTGAACTCTTCTGATTTTCTTTTTATTCCTTCGGCTCCCTAAGGAGCATAGACCTAGCCAACACTTCCCTAAGGAGAATAGACCTAGCCAACACTTCCCTAAGGAGCATAGACCTAGCCAACACTTCCCTAAGGAGCATAGACCTAGCCAACACTTCCCTAAGGAGCATAGATCTAGCCAACACTTCCCTAAGGAGCATAGACCTAGCCAACACTTCCCTAAGGAGCATAGACCTAGCCAACACTTCCCTAAGGAGCATAGACCTAGCCAACACTTCCCTAAGGTGCATAGACCTAGCCAACACTTCCCTAAGGAGCATAGACCTAGCCAACACTTCCCTAAGGAGCATAGACCTAGCCAACACTTCCCTAAGGAGCATAGACCTAGCCAACACTTCCCTAAGGAGCATAGACCTAGCCAACACTTCCCTAAGGAGCATAGACCTAGCCAACACTTCCCTAAGGAGCATAGACCTAGCCAACACTTCCCTAAGGAGCATAGACCTAGGCAACACTTCCCTAAGGAGCATAGACCTAGCCAACACTTCGTCAACTAACTTAATTTTTTTTCGGCTTACTAAGGAGCATAGACCTAGGCAACACCACAATTTCTTTATCTTATTTCGTTCTCCACTGTGTTACCATTGAGTTTCGAGCCTTACAGTAAAACAGACATCACATTTAGCTAGAAATCCAGATTGAGTTTTGTTTACCACACAGGATCGCTGCGCCCCTGTATATCGAGTAGGTAATAGGGGGTATTTTACCATGAAGAGGATAGCTGCACCCCTGTATATCGGATAGGAGATAAAGGGTATTTTACTAAACAACAGGCACACAAGATCAAGTTGATGACAATTTTATTCAAACAAAACATTGAGCTAAGCGTACAAATATATTTACTTGGTATTTTAACACTGCTGAAATGTCTCAGCAGCAATAGAATTTTCTACAGCTAAACCATTGATCTAAGTAGGTCATCAGCACAGGTGGGGTTTTTTTTGTGTTGTGTTGTCTGTCTAGTATTGTGGTTTTGTTGGTTGGTTTGTCTGTCAAAAGCTGGTGTTGGCTGTAATGTCTCTGTTCCTATGTTGTGTTTTTTTTTTCGTTGCTTCAAGTGCGTTTTTACAGTTTAACTTATTAGTCTAGAACTGGTGAGCCTAGAACATTCCTGACAACCCAACTGGTAAGACTAGAACATTCCTGACAACCCAACTGGTGAGCCTAGAACATTCATGACAACCCAAAACTGGTGAGCCTAGAACATTCTTGACAACCCAAAAATGTGTTTTTTATACTTTTAATTTGATGTTTTAGGTTGGAGAAATTAAATTTAGTTTAAACTATGAGGTCAAAAAGAAAAACCTGCCAATGACATGAAACAGCATGAAATGACACCCACACCTAGTTCAGATCTCTTGTATGTCAGCAGGATGTCATGTGGAGAATTGCCATGTAGATACATGTACAGATACATATAAAGATACATGCACAGGTAAGGTAACTCTGTTTACATTTTTAAAAACTTTGTTCTTTACATTTAGAATTCTGTCCCTCAAATTATTTGACATGTCTCTGGTTAACTTAACATTCACTCCCAACATACAAGCTTCACACAACATACAAACATATATATATGTCATTAAACATACTGGTAAAAGCATACATGATCAATATGTTAATAGCTATTGACACATCATTGATGTTCAACACATCATTTTTGTTCATGTCCTCTGTCAAACCATTATCTAAAATAGCACCATTACATCTATCATAAACTGTAGAGTACATACATTTGAAATACAATTACACATACATCCAAAAATATTTCTTTGGTGATAACACCATTCAACTTTTAGTTAATGGTTTCAGGAATTCATTGTTACAATTTTAAACAGCTGTCAACTAGCACATGACATGATTTGAGGACAACAAAAGCACATATATATGGATGACAATATCAGGTTCCATAACCAGACTTTTAGAACTGCCCCCAGAATATGATTGTCTCCCTTGATAAAAAAAACCTGAACACCAAAACACAAAGCAAAAGTATTTAAATAGTAAAAACTGCAACCATTAAAATAATTAAGGAACAAACATTTCACATCACACAGGTTCGACATTGAGAGTACTAACACTGCAAACATTGTTATATCTTCTGGGATAGGTACAAATCTAATTTTAAAAACCTGTTGTAAAAAAAAAGTGAATGCATGACTTCTATATATAAAGTCACAACAACAACTAACCAACATGAACAACAATTCCAATGTTGATAAACGCAACAACTCAACCAACAGGACCACCAATTCCAATTTTGATAAAGCCAACAACTCATAGACTAGGAGTTTGTACGTTCACATAGTGGTGCCTGACAGGCAATCAACAACCTCTACATGCAGAAAACTGTTTCATTCTCACTTGACAAAGTCTCTAAATTCTTGTACAACATTCACATTAAGTGCCATTAAAACAACAAATTCAATTGTTCACATGAACAAAAACTTAAAACATTTTTAAACCATCAATAATAAAAATGTGGATATAAATGCAGTTTCTGGATACAACTAAAAATAACTAAGCCATTTTCTCAAAAGGAAAACACATAAAATATTCCCCAAATTTGTATTACACCCCACATCAACACTGTAACATGTGAATTGAATAACCCACCTGAATAATCAAATTACAACACATAATCAATTAAGCAATAATATTTTTTTTAAATTAATCCCTCCCCCACTATCATCAGGAAACTAATTGTACTTCCCTCCCTTGTCACCAAAAACAACTTTACAAACTGCTCTTCCCCAGAGGCGTAGCAACCCTTCCCGGCGCCCGGGGACAAACTTTTCGATTTCCACCCCCCCCCCCCCTCAGGATTTCAATTTCCACCCCCCCCCCTCAAACTTTAGATTTGCACCCCCCCTCCCCCTCAAGATTTTGATTTGCACCCCACTCAACCTTTCAATTTATTTTTCCAACCCATTTACAAACTGTTCTTCCCTCCCTTGTCACCAAAAATAACTCTATAAAATGTTCTTCCCTCCCGTGTCATCAAAAACAACTTTACAAACTGCTCTACCTCCCTTGTCACCAGGAATAACTTTACAAACTGCTCTTCCCTCCCTTGTCACCAAAAATAACTTTACAAACTGTTCTTCCCTCCCTTGACACCAGGAATAACTTTACAAACAGCTCTTCCCTCCCTTGTCACCAGGAATAACTTTACAAACTGCTCTTCCCTCCCTTGACACCAGGAATAACTTTACAAACTGCTCTTCCCTCCCTTGTCACCAGGAATAACTCTAGAAGTTAACTGCTCCTCCCAAGACCATTGCTATGTACACAATCACAAGCCTTTAAAATATCAATGCAATTTGTTCCGTATTTGTTTTTTAAATAGAATGAGCTGTTACTCAATCAAAACAAGCTTTAAAATAAGTCAACTGCAGATCCAGTATCACACACACAGTATACACTAACAGCCAGTAATTACCACACTGTCAGCAACTGTCTTGTGGCTACCAAACACCATTTGAATATATTTCACAACAAGAAAAAACATACAATAACATAGTTATGTACAAAAGTATAAACAGTTATTTACAGTAACTTGTTCCTAACAAAAAAAAAGATAATGTTTACACACAAACACCAGGCGGGGGCGGGGCTTTTAATCGTCTGACCACGTTATACTGTTGTAGTCTGGGAATTTTTCTTTCAAGAGTCGCACTGTGATAGAATGGTCAGCTTTACCATAACCCTGAAAAATTTAGATTTTAATTAGCATGAGCCAAATTAAGTAATAACTTTTCGGACCTTTTGACAGGGAAGTAAAACACTTTTTGACTTTCGAATGTGTCACATGCACAACTAACACTTTATTTATATCTAATAGAAATTTAGTGTCTTATTAAGTGCATTTAAAACCTCGATATTACTTTGACCCTATCCCTAACATATCCTTACCTTATCCCTAACATAAGGGGGATGGAGTGGTCTAGCGGAAGAGAGCTGGACTGCTAACCCGTAAGTCTTGAGTTTGAATCCGTGTTCAAGTCAGTATACCGTCCCTAAGTCCACCCAACTCTGATGGGTACCTAACTCACGTTAGGGAAAGTAAAGGCGGCTGGGCATAGTGTTGACCACACTATATCTTCATATGCCGAGGTCACAAAAACAACTGAACTCTACTTCACTTGCCCTATAGACGGTCAGGTTTGAAAAAGGGAACTTTACTTTATCCCTAACTTATCCTTATCCTATCCCTAACATATCCTTACCCTATCCCTAACATATCCTTACCCTATCCCTAGCATATCCTTACCCTATCCCTAACATATCCTTATCCTATCCTTATCTGTATCTCAACCTCTAAATGACCTCAGAAGCATCAGCAGGGCTATATCTTAATGCTGTTTCTTTGGCTGGGGAGGGGTATAGAGAGTAATGTCTGTCTCCCATAAGAAAACACAAACCAGTGTAAGTAAAAACAATCAGTGTGTAAGAAAACACAACCAGCGTGTCAGAAAACACAACCAGCATGTAAGAAGATACAATCACTGTCAACCAGTTTGTAAGACAACACAAACCAATGATCAAGATAACACAAACCTGAGAATGCCCAAATACTGTGATGGTTTTAGCAATGGAGTCATGTTCAATCTTCCCTCCACCCACACACTCACAAGTGACGCCCAACTCCTCCAGAAATGCATCCAGGTGATCATAGATGTCAGCTGAAATGTACAAACATCTTTCATTATATGCTTAGAACAATTAGAATGATGTACACACATCTTTCATTATATGCCTAGAACAATGAGATAAATGTACAAAAAACTTTCATTATATGCTTAGAACAATAAGATAAATGTAAAAACATCTTTCATTATATGCCCAGAACAATTAGAATGATGTACAAACAACTGTCACCATATGCCTAGAACAATAAGAAAAATGTACAAACGTCTTTCATTGTATGCCTAGAACAATGAGAAAAATGTATAAACAATTGTCATCATATGCCTAGAACAGTAATAAAAATGTACAAAAAATTTTCCCTCATTTACCAAGAACTGTAAGAAAAATGTGCCACACATTTTATTTATAGACAAAGTTAAATTAGAAAATTAGCTGAATGAATGTTGCTAAGTAACATATATTATTATTAAGAAGACTATTTTACAAAACTGATGAAGATCTGATGCTGAGTATACAATTCAACAGCAGGGGTGTGGTCAGGGAGTGGAGGGGGGGGAGGTCTACAGGAATTTGTCCGACATTTTACTCAGCTTGTCTCCCTTGAAGCTGATGTTAAGATTTTTTAATTTAAAATCTGTTTACTATGCTACCTGCTTGCCTTACATGAAGTGGATGTATTTTTTTAAAAGTTTCAAATCTACCCACCATGGAACTCCGCCTGTCTTGTACCTCTGGCAATCATTTTGGAATCTTCCTTATTGCCATCCTGATACACTTTACACAGAATGTATTTGAATCGACCATTTTCATCAATCACCACATCGTCAATACTGGCCAGGAGAGGGTTCACTTCTGCAGTCTTACCAGGCATACTCTTATGTGTTGATGTCTGGTTAAATAAAGCAGTGATATCAAACAGATTGTGACAAATGATAACCTAGTTTTTATTATGTTTTTATGCATTTGAAAATTGCAACTTGTTTAATTTAATGCAGCTCAATAAAATGCAGCAATTCTACATAAATTTCAGCAGATAAACAGTTTTGAAAAAAAATAAACACAATAACAAAATTATGTTTAAAATGGAAGTAAGATAAAACAATAGTTTATAGGCTAGTATTCATTTTTTTGTACTTATTCTAGCAATATACTGTTAGAATTAATTTGTGCTTTTTGCAGTGTATGGTTAACTCTTCAGTAAAGCACATCCAACTTCTTCTTCTTCTGCGTTTTTAATTTTAGTGTTGGAAGAGATTCACTCCAACAAAATTAAGTATTACATGTCAATTTGTTATGCACCATATAGGCTGTTAATGCTGATTTCAGCCTGCTTTTCTTTTTGGATTTGCTTCCATAGCTTTTGTCCAACCAAGAACAAACTACAAGGCAGCAATAGTTTGATTTTGGAGTTGTCTCTCCTAGAAGAGTTGCTGTCCCCAAGATGTCGAGACTCATCTGCCCGTGGGTTAAAACTCAAGACTTTTTGGTATAGAAACCATGAGCTTTACCGACTCGACCATGCCGACCCCTCAAATCTGACTAAAAATTAAAGTTTGAAATGCGTTATTTATTCATTTTTAAAATTTGTTGAATGTGCGCAAAAATGTTCTTTATAGGATCTTTATTATCTACAAAGTTAATATAAAATTGATGCACTTTGCTTATCTATAACTTCAATAACTCTGAATACAATTTGTCAATAGTTTACTTGTAAATTAGAATTCTAAATTCATATTTAATGTATTGACAATAAAATTAAGTTGGTACTTTAATTTTCTCTAGTAAGGCAAAAACAATTGTATAAAGATAGTTTTTTTCTACCAATGCTAAAAGAGCAACACAATATTATTTTCAGTATAGAGGAATTATATATGGGTATTGCAGATGTGAATAGGACACGAAATACAATTACCACAAATGTTAGCAATACCAGCTAGCAAGAATTTAAAAAAAAAGAGAATTTCAGAAAAAAATAACTAATGAATTTCGGCACAGAATTCATTTCCAATTATAAAGTTGCTTAGGGTAAGTGTTTAGCTTACAGTATTCATATAATTATAATAATGCTATTAAAAGCATTCAGTATCATATCAGAATTATATATATCGTTTTAGGTATGTAAAATCGCCCGTGACGAGTAATGTGAAAAACAGGTGACTCCTCAAATTTTAATAACTATTTCACATTTTGAGGAGGATTTATGTTTTGAAAAATACAAAAATGTTTCCGTTTCATTTATGTACCTGTTTTTAAAACAATTGAATTAAAACTTTTCAGTAATAAATGAAAACTCGCAATGTTTCCAACAGATGCAACATTGCTCATTTACTATAGCAGCCATCTTGTTGAAGGTTTTTTTTATAAACTTATGGCGCGAGATTCAGGGGAAGCCACTCTAACTCACAGATGACCGCTTTTTATATAGCAAATCCTGCGCGCAAACACTGCTGTTTAAAGTTAATTTCTTGCCTATATTATATTGATTTATTTAGCCATTGATTTAGGTTTATTATTCATTTATCTATAATATTTGACACAAATATAATTAAATATATCGCAATATAGGCCTACTTAAATTAAAGCTTTGACAATGAGGTAACTTTTTCATACATTATTACTAGCCGCGGGCGATTTTACATACCTAAAACGATAGATTACCATAAATTTTTATTATTGTTATTAAATATTAGGCCTAGTCTATTACATTAGATTACTCAACTCTAGACTTCTAGAATAGACTAGTCAGACTAGTCTAGACTAGCTAGATGAAATTATGTCAATGGAGACAAGCGAGTTGACGAGATTCCGTCCCCAATGTTGTTGACATGGAATAAAAACGTGCTTTTTTAGATTTAGACCGTAAAAAAAAATAAAAAATAAAAACTTAAGCCTAAAATTAATTTAGAAATTTTATATTTTTAGAATAAATGTTATAAAAGTTGCAAATCCAGAGAACTTGAAAATAATTTGTTGAGTTTAAGGCTACATTTCTATTTATTTTCATCAAGCCTAAGTTATAACCGGATGTTTCACTTTCGTAAGACAAATATTGATTGGCTGTACAGTAACTTAGTGATCGATAACTATTTGTTTACAAAACTTTGCAGATCAAGTTTTTAAATTACAATGCAAATTTAAAACCCCATGACCTAGTTTTCTATTTTTAGCTTACAATGTGTACAATAAAATCAATGGCGGCCTATCCAATAGCAGGATGCCATTGTTTATGTCGCCATTACACGTGAAAACCAAATTGTTTTTGCTTTTTTTTACATTTTTATTTAGTTACCGAAAATATTATAAACATCAAATACATCCAATCTTTAGTAAAGTCCGAAAAAAACCAGACAGAGAGGATTTTATAACCATATTAATTGTAACTACGCTGTGCATGATTTTTAAATGAATTTATACACCTCTCGAATACCTTTGAGACTTTTCTCGCTCGTGTCCATTAGCCCTGAATTAGGGCCTATGTCTTATCATTAATATTAATATCATTAATAATTAACATCATAAGATTAGATTTAGAATATAGATCTAGATCTAGATTATTAAATATTAATTAATAATTAATCTAGATTCTAGAATGATAGATTTTTATTTTTTAATATTTTTTCTTAAGATTAGGTTTTTTTTTTTAGATTGATCTCTTTCTCTAGAAAGAATCTGGATCTAGATCTAGAATGCTACGCAATTTACAAGTGCTTATTGTTTTCTTCAAAACTTACCGCTTAAGAGACTGAGCTTACAAAATGTTTGCAGTGGTTGTGTGTAACGCAAATCAAATGTCGGTGAGGAAATCTTGGACTGCTCTTCTACATGTAGTAAATAAGTTTGTTGTGGTTTATTATGATCTATTTTTAGTAGCAAGTTGTTTTCAAAGGTCAAGGTTAAAGGCTCCGGCTCGGCATAGTAAAAAAGTGGCTTTTCCCTTTCTAGAATAGACAAAAATTATAAAGACTTCTAGGTTTAGGTTAGGTTTAAAATTTTAAAAAACAAAGAATAATTGACTTTTAATCTCCAAGAAACAAGCACCACGAAATGTGTTTGCCAAACTAAACAAGCATAAAAGTTAAAGGGGGTCCCTGTTAATCCTTATTAATTATTAAACTTCATTTTCCAGGCTTTAAATACTTTAAATTAAGTTTAATATAGGCCTATAATTCATAATTTGCAACTCTCTTTACTTAGTTTAGATGATGAAGTTTTTTGTTGTTGTTTTTTTTTAGAATTTTTACATAATAGGTCCTGCCCTCGTATATCTAGATCTATATAGTTGATTAGTAGATTCTAGGCTTGTGGCCTAGCCCTAGTTTGGTATGCTTATAGTTATACTTTATAGGCCTACTTATATTAATTATTTTTTGGTATTTACTTTTACATGCTCACGGAGTATTAATAAGTTATAATATGTACTATTTGGGCTTAAAAATCTCATTTAGGTTAATATTAAATGTTTGGCATATTATCTTTTTAATTTGGCTTTTGTAAAAACAAAACCGTCTAGTTAAAATTGTTTTCTTTTATGGGAGGTAAAATTAAGTTCAGAATTTTATACTACTTAGCAACAACGTACTTTTGTTGAAAAATGGCGGATCATCACAGCAGTGGGATCAATGGTTATGGAGGTGAAGAGATGTCAGCTCGAACATCAAATATTGAAGGATTCGTTGCCACTCAAATTCGAAAGCAAGAGGTTAGTGTATTATAATCGTTTACCATACAATATAATATATTCAGTGTAAAAGTTTCAATTTTTTTTTATTATTAAATAGGGGCCTATATATATATTATATATTTATTATTATTATTTATTAATATTTAATTTATTTATTGTTTTTAATGCATATATATATATATATATATATATATATATATATATATATATATATATATATATATATATATATATATATACATACAATATATTATTAAAATTAAGTTATATTAATTTTCTACAGAGTCAAAGGTTATTAATTATTAAATTAATTAGATTTACTGGGTAATCTATCATTTTAGGTATGTAAAATCGCCCGCGACTAGTAATGTGAAAAACAGGTGACTCCTTAAATTTTAATAATTATTTCACATTTTGAGGAGGATTTATGTTTTGAAAAATAAATAAAAATGTTTCCTTGTTTGATTTACGTACCTGTTTTTAAACAATTGAATTAAAACTTTTCAGTAATAAATGAAGACTAGCGATGTTTCCAACAGATGCAACCATGCTCATTTACTATTACAGCCATTTTGTTTATTTTTTTTTAATTGTAAACTTATAGCGCAAGATTCAGGGGAAGCCACTCTAACTTACAGATGGCAGCTTTTTATATAGCAAATCCTCCTCGCAAACACTGCTGTTTAAAGTTAATTTCTTGCCTATATTGATATATTTAGCCATTGATTTAGGTTTATTATTCATTTATCTATAATATTTGACACAAATATATCACAATATACTTCTATTAAAGCATTGACAATGAGGTAACATTTTCGTACATTACTAGCCACGAGGGATTTTACGTTCCTAAAACGATAGATTACCATTTACTATTTAGATCTAGAATAATCTAGAAATCTAGATCTTAGATTTGTTAGCTTAGAAACTCGATCTTGTAGGTTGGGTTGAGAAGAGTGACTCAATTATACCTTTCATTTTTTTTAAATGTGAACCATAAACATGCTTTTAAAAAAAGCTCCAAAATATTTCTAACTTTGTCATTTTATGGTAGGGATCTGATTTTTATTTATACTCCCTATAAGTATAATATAATTAATGTTATGTTTTATTGTTATTAATTTAGTAACTTTTGTAAAATGTTTGATATTGTTTATGGAGTTAATAGGGTTGCAGGAAAATACACTAATTTTGATTAGTGTTGTAATTGACAGGTTAAAGCATGTGATACATGATTTAAAACTTCAAAGGATTAGCCATTAATTGTATAATAACAATTTAAGATAAAGCTTTTCAGCAAGTCTGTATCAGTAGAATTTTAATTTTTTTTCTCATATAAAAGAAATACAATTTAATCATTATAAGTCACAAATGAGGATAAATATACACTACATTATAAATGCAGTGTTGAAAAAGTTTTCCATTACTTGTTTGAAACAGCTTCTCATTTAATATCTATCATTATAAATGCAGTGTTGAAAAGTTTTTCATTACTTGTTTGAAACAGCTTCTCATTTAATATCTATCATTATAAATGCAGTGTTGAAAAAGTTTTTCATTACTTGTTTGAAACAGCTTCTCATTTAATATGTGACCTACTTAGGTCGAGTCATTTTTATTTTGACATTGTATAATTCCTTATATGGAATGATGGTGTAACACCTGGGGTTTTTCCACTGACTTATTAAGGTGTTTGAGACATAGAAATTTTCCATTAAAATCTGATTGAATGATTCTGATCAGATGATTATCCCAACCAATGGCGACATGAGTTGAGGATAACCTCCCCTGTCACAGAAGTCTTTAATTGCACTGCACACTCGCAACACGAGGCAGTTTTTCTTGACCTGGTAGTCTACGGGGCCGTTTTACCTCGTTCAGGCAGCCGTCCATATTGTCCGGCTATAGACTCTGACCATTTGAACGTGAGAGTACTTAAGACCTGTGTGTGCCTTGCTTTCTTAAGTTGATTTAGTCTTCTAGTTTAATATTACTTGTCGCTAAGTAATTCCTGAAGCTACAGCAGTGTTGTGTGGCCTGTGGCTGTTCTTTTGACAGTGTAGAAATCTGTGATAGTGATTTTTCCTACATTTTGTAAGTTGTGTTTTGATATTTTATACATTAAATATTTTATCTAGTTCATCTTTGTGTTCTGCCACAACTGAGTTCGCTGATTAAAAGGTCGTATGTAGATTGGATGAGTGTTAATTACAACAGTATCACTAGCTCCCCTAGACATTAAATTCGAGCCCTAGTGGGTCGTTGTGTTAAGTGTTCATCCACTTAGGCCGTAAGGCATTTGCATATGACCCCGAAAAAAGAATCCGGGGACGTTCTCCTTCTATTTAGCTGATAGATAGGTTAACGTTACAAAGTGGGGGCTCGCCGAGATTTAATCTGTCGTTCCAGTTGTTGGTTATATCAGTTGAATATTAAGGTTAGTTGGATTTAGTTGTTTTTATATCCAGTAGCGCAGTGTTCTTACAACGCGCGCTCAGGCTAGAGTATCTAGGTCAAATTAGCAGACGTGTCACGTCCTACATTTAGAGGTCAAGTACACGGCCCAACGCTGTGTATTAATTTAAAGAATCTAGGCTTGTTGTGATTTTCAAGTTAGAGTTATGGAGTCTTTTTTGGCTAATCCTACTGTTGAAGATGTAGAAAAGTTGAGTAGAAAAGTTTTGGTTAGTGTTGTTAAGGAATTGAAATTGGATTATTCTGTTACGCAGAAGTCAGAGGTGTTGAGAGATAAGATTGTTGTTCATTTCATTAATGAAGGTGTATTTGATGAAAGTTTGTTGGCGGATGTGTTACTTCGCGAGGAGAAACCTCTAGAAGAGAGGGAGCTTTTGTTAAAAGAAAAGGAGTTAGAGGCTAAAATTGCTTTAGATAAGAGGAGGTTGGAATTAGAGTTTGGTCAAGTTAGTGATGTCACTTCTCTGGTAGATCTAAAAAAGTTGTCGGTAGGGCAAGTGATTGCCAAATTTGGGAAATTAGTTCCTAAATTTGATGAAACAGATTTGGTCGTTTTCTTTAACTCGTTCGAGAGTTTAGCGAAGACATGTGAATGGCCCGAAACTTCCATTACTGCTTTATTGAGCTCTGTCCTTACTGGGAAAGCTGCAAAAACATACCAGGCACTCTCTCACGACGTTCAAAATAACTATAGTTTGGTCAAGACTGCCATTTTGAAGGCCTACGCACTGACGCCCGAGGCCTATCGGACAAAATTCCGAACACTCCGCAAGTTACCCACACAATCATATGTGGAATTTCTCTTTGAAAAGGAGAAAATATTCTCAAGGTGGCTACACTCTGAGGAAGTTTCTGAGTTTGAGAAACTCAGGTCTCTTATCCTAAGGGAAGAATTCCTATCGTCCCTGCCTGAAGAGATACGACTACACATACTGGATAACAAGATAACTGACATCCAGAGGCTGCTGAGTCGGCTGACACATATATGTTGGTGCATAAGAAACCACCAGTGTCAGGAAACCGCCTCAACCCCGTGCTTCCCCTTTTTGGCAGCAATCATCCTGTTGGCCAACATTTGAAGGCAGCACAGTCCAGAGAGAAACCAAGATCAACTCTCAATCGTCGAGCAGTATGCCAGTTCTGCAAAAGGTCTGGGCATCTTGTCAAGGACTGTTACAAACGTCTTCAGAATAACAGAGAGGTGGTGCGTACTTCCGCGCACTATGCTCTATCCCCTCAAGCAGCCAGTTCAACTATGAACTCTAGAATTCAAAAGGACTCTAACCCTAAGTGTCCGCAAGAAGGTAGTCAAGTCTCCACCCATTATGTGCAGTCACATTTTGACTGTTCTCGCCACCATCCAGTTTCTTCCGAGTCTACCGATCTCGAGAGATCGAGAAAAGTTGACTTTTCATCTTTTATTGCCGAAGCCATCATTAGCAAACCAGGTGATCCGTTGTCTCAGAAGAATATCACCGTTCTAAGAGACACAGGAGCGTCACAATCTCTCCTTTTGAAAAGTTCAATGGACATTTCACCAGAGACGAACACCGGAAGGATTTCCATTATCCAGGGAGTAGGGACGAAATCTACTGTCGTCCCTCTACACAAGTTTGCCCTGAAACATCATCTCGTCGAAGGTGAGGTCATTTTAGGTGTGATAGATAGTATTCCTGTCCCAGGAGTACACCTACTTCTAGGGAATGACCTTGCGGGAAGCAAAGTATACCCCTGTACGGTTTCAGACCCTTTGTCAACAGTTCCAGATAATGATTATGAACTGTATCCTGCATGTGCGGTGACAAGAAGCCAGACCAAACAATTGGCTGACACAACGTCTGAACCACATCTACCATCATCGTCAAGAAATTCGACTCCCAAACTGGAGTCTATGCTTCCAGAAAACACAAGCTTGGGCTTACCCCTGAGGATATCTCAGGAAGACATCATTAAAGCTCAACAAGTCGACGCGGAACTCAAAGCAACGGTCGAAAAATCTCTATCATCTGACGATGGAGAATATTTCTCCGAGAACGGCCTCTTCTTTCGTCGCGCTATACCAGTGAATGCCTCACCAGCCGAACCATGGTTGGGTAAAAACCAGCTGTGGGTCCCTCCACCTTATCGGCATGAAATACTTAAGCTGGCACATGACCATCCAATGTCAGCGCACCCAGGAGTCACTAAAACGACGGCGAAGATCAAAGAACTGTTCTTTTGGCCCAAAATGAGAAAAGATGTGTCGCGTTACTGCAGAAGTTGCACGAACTGTCAGTTGGCCGGAAAGCCAAACCAGAAAATTCCTAAGGCCCCTTTGAGTCCGATTCCTGTATTAGAAGAACCCTTTTCAAAAATCGTCATGGACTGTGTAGGTCCCTTGCCTAAAACCAAGGCGGGCAACGAGTACCTACTTACCTTTATGTGTTCAAGTACCCGTTTTCCCGAGGCGATTCCCTTACGGAACATTAAGGCAAAGACTGTAGTCAGAGCCATGACCCGGTTCTTCACTACCTTTGGATTACCTAGAATCGTGCAAACAGATC